TAAAGAGAGTTAACTCTTACCTGGCTGAATCCAGCACAAGCACTTTTTAAAGTGGTTTTTTGTGGGGTGGGGGAGACAGGGGGACTGGTGGGTATTTCCACAACTGAGTCAGGCAAAATCTTACACCTTTCAATAGAAGCTATATTTCTGTCCTCATAAGTGGGTTCATTAAAAGCAAAATAATTTTCAGCTTGCTAGAATTTTTTGATTAAGGAAAAGGAATTTTTGTGATTGCTTGACAGGAGGGTTGTTTGAGTCCTTTTTCTTTTGACATACCTACAGCTAAGGAATATTAATAGTCTCCTTTTTAGCTTTGAAGAAAATTTTAGCATGTTCCTTGCCCAAAAGTCAGTGCTCATAATTGGCAAAGAGTGTCAATACTTTATTTACTTTCTGGATCGTGGTTGTAAAAAGCCAAGCTGTTGGTATGGGGAGAGCAGTGAGTCCTCTTGGTTCTTGGCCAAGGGTGTAACCAGACTGACTAGAAAAATGGTGGTAGTTTGCTAGTTTGTGTTGTTTCTGATGGCATAGAGCTCACCTTTCTCTGATGCTGCGGGATGTTCTTGATTCAACTTCCAACCTTGGCAGAAGTGGAAAAAACCCTCCCGTGTGGGTTTAGGTCCAGTAGTGCTTATGGTAAATGGCTTCTAGAAGAGGAATTCTGCTGACAGGCGGCTTCACAGGCTGACGGGCGAGCTAGCCGTCAGTGAATCAGGGATGTGGTATCATTGGCATCCTGATGGTACCTAGCTGTGTCTCAGACCTCATGTTAAATGTAACGAGAGAAAGACGACGGCTCTGCTTATGTGACTTTCTTACCTTTCTATTTTTGTCATTATTTTTTAAAGTCTACTTGAGATTACTCCTTTTTTTCCCTTTTCTCATAATGCACATCAAGATCGTCTCAGCTTGCCCGACACTGTTTTTACAGTAGAGAAATCTGAGTGTGTTTATTCGCCTTCCCCTGACTCCTTATCGCTTCAGAGATACTGCATGTTTTTCTTTCACAGAAACATTCCGTGCACCCACATTTCGAAACGGCCCTGATAAAAATGGCTTTTCTCTTGGATGCAGCAAAAATCTGAGGGAGGTTTTCGGAGATGAAAAGAAGTATTGGCTACTCCCTGTCTTTACCAGGTATCCAGTCTGAATGGGAATGAATTGGGGAACAAATATATTCCGTGACTTCCACCTTGCTTCCCCTTCCCCTAAAAAATAAAGCGCAGCTGAAAAGCCAACTTGCAAATCCCGCATTTTTAGGGAAAATATGCAGGAGAAAACTGAGCAGAGGTTTTCGTTCAAAGACAGGGGCCTTGTTGACAGGGTCTTTCTAAATACAGGAGTTTGGAACGCTTTGAGAAGTGTGTTTCAAAAATTGGACACCTTTTTGTGGTAGTATTGGTGTCTGCTTATTGGACAGAAATCAGCAACTTTGGAGATATAAATGCTTGAACTTCAGCTGCATTGAAACAACATTGGTTTAAAATCGCCCCACCCTTACCCCTGAAAACACTTGACAGCTTTCCTTTTGCTGTAGGTGACAGTTTTGGTCCTGAAAGCTGCCAGCAGTGCAAAAAAATAACGATGCAAAATACTGTTTTTCTTAAACTTCAACTGAGCCAGTGTTAGGGAGTTGCAGACAAGTGTCAGAGAAGCTTGATGAAGCAAGACTGACCTGCTGCTCACTCCTACCACTGCCCGAAGTCAGCGGAACAAAGTGGGAGCCATGTTTCATCCCTGCTTTTGCGGGGGGTGAGGAGGTGTGGTGTGTGTGAATGAGTTTAAACCATTGGTGCACGCAGCCGTTTGTGAAGCTGAGGTCTGGTGGCAAACAGCAGAAGTAACAACAAGATCTTAAGCTGCCTCGGCCGTTCGCTCAACTGCTGTGACTTTTCATGTGGTTAAAGACAGAAGCTATATTGTAGATGGATCAGTCTGTTTTGCCACCACATTTTAACCTGATTAAACTTGCTTTAAAATAAGGCTTAGCTAAGCTCAGAATGATGGGTGGAGGGGAAAGCACAGCCACCAGAATAGTGTTTATGCTCCAGCTCCTGGGGTAGTAAATACCAGATTGTCTGACTACGTGTGCACGGTGGTTTCGGGGAAGACTAGGGCTACAGTCTAGAGAAACACAGGGCTGTTTCTGAACTACATAGACTAGTGCTGTGCTCAGCAATCCGCAGTGGAGGTAGGGTGGGAATCATTTGAGCTCAGAGATCTAATTAACTGATCATCCGGCTTAGTGGCAGAACTGCCTCACTCAAGTCTGGAGTTCCACGCGGCACTCCAGTAATTGATTTGAGCCCGTAGCATTTACCTTTTGCATGGGTACTTGTTCAGTTCATTTAAGTGAGCGACAAACAGCAATTTGAATCTTTGTTTCTGATTTAGTTTGGGCGACGGGTGTAATTTTCCGACTCGTTTGGTGATTGTGGATCCAGAGCAACTTACCGTCTCAAGCCAAAATGAACCTGCCAAAAGGTAACTATAGTGTTTAAGATGCTGATTTTGTACTGTTCTCTACTTCATCTGGAGAAAAAGAGATTTCAGAATTTTTTTTTTTTATATATATATACTTATTGTCATCTTCAGAGTGTGCTTGGAAGTCTTCAGAGAGGGACAGAATGGGTCAAGACTGAAAAATAGTGCTGCTTGATGCAGCAAGTCTGTTTCTTGGTTTTGACCTGTAGCAGAGGATATGGCTCTGAGGAAACAGTAATACAGAAACTAAGAGAGCTTACTGGCTCTTAACAACAATCAGAGAGTCCAAGGGAAGACCTGACTAATAGTCCATGGGAAGGTTGAAGATATTTTTTGGAATAAGAGAAAGGCAAGGTGTTACTTGTATTTCATCTCCTCCAGCGTGCTTGAACGAGGGATACTGAGACACGGTTTGCAAAAGATTGCTGTGGCTATTGCTGGATTTTAGTGCTGGAGGGTTTTTAGCTCATTACTTTTTACCCCTCTGAATTTGCACGGTTTTTGTCTTCCCTGTATTTTCAGGAAGCCTGCTTTTGATTCAGAGACACGGGAGTATGTGAAACTTCGGGACTCTTTACATTGCCATTTTAGAAGTCTTCTGTATAGTTTGGTGAATGTGTAGCTGAAGGTTGTTGTCAATAGCTGTCACCTGAGTTACCAGGCAATAGGGGGGTTCAAAGGCAATACCGAGAAGTTGCTTCCAGTGCAACATAACCTGTGGAATTTACACAAGGGCAGGATCCTTGTGCAAACAGCAGAGTGTCCTTTTGCATTAGGGCCTTAGCAGAAGGCCCTAGCTTTTACTGCTGGGATAAATTACATTGGGTGGTTCTTCCAGACAGTACTGGCCAGGTTTTTTTAACTGTGTGGCAGTAGCATGGCTGTCACTATGCCATTTCTTGTCTATCTGTGCTTTTTTCCATGGGGACTGTGTCAGGTAAGGCTTTAGGCTAATGATGAGAACAAGCCTGTAGAATTGGGGTGGGGGGCTGAAGGCCATTTTTAGTTGGCAGTGTAGGGTTTTTTGTTTGCTTTACTCTTACATGACTTCACTACTCTGCAGATGTCTGAAATAAGCAGCTACTGCTACTACAGAATTCCTGTTGCCATTGCTTACTTTGCAGCTCTGGAGCCAATCAGTCCTTTCCTGCTCGACCACTCAGTGAATCACAGAATCAATTGCTAGCCGGTGAGAGTCAGTGGGTGGAAAGCGCCCCTGAAGAGGAAAACGTTAAATCAGGTAGCCTGTGCTGTGATGATTCTCTGGTTTTGTTTGTGGTGGGGTTTTCCATTATTTTTCTTTGGGCCTAAAAAGTCATTAGGAAATGGCTGGAGTCAAGTAGAAGAAAACTTGTTCTATAGAATCAAGTCAGTATGTTTAGAATTTAAGCTAACTTGTGCCTCATGCTCTGCTCCACAGTGAGTTATTACACTAAGGTAATGGATAGATAATTCTTGCTTTTGCACTTCCTGTTCTGAGATTTTGGTTCTTTTTACGTTTCATTAGAGAGAGGAAAATATTTTTCTAAAAAAGGCACAATACAGTAAACGTGCGTTCTGGTTTGAAGTCTTGTTTTTCAGATCTGCAAAAACACATAGTTAAGATTCTCTTACATTTTAGGTGTGAAAAAGCATGTTATAGTTTCATTGGAAAGCTGATCTCAGCTTATTACTAACCAACCATCTCAGTGAGAAACAGGTAAGACCAACATAATTGATTCCCACTTCTGTCTATGTGTGAGTAAAAGAAAACAGGCATCCAGAAGTCAAAAGTGGCTAGTCATGGAACGCAGAGGAGTCCTCTGCTGTTGGATGAGTAATAGAAAAGTCTAAGTGAAACTCGGAATGGCTGTCCAGAAGACAAGAATGGGAGTAACGCTGCAGTGCAGGAAACCTGGGCTGGCTAGACTGGAGATGAGTCAGACCAATCCTGTAATTTAGATTGAAGTGGGCAGTGCTGGATTTGTTACCTGGCTAGGGAGAAGAATCTAATCTGCTAAACAGGCAATTCCAAGATGAAGTGCTGTTCCTAAGAACAGCTCTTTTTCGTAATTGTGTATTGGTGGGCAGTGCTCTGCTCTGAGGCTTGCAGGCGGTGTGCGTGCACGTGGAAGGACGGTCGGTAGGTAAATACGGGTGTCTGCACCGGGACTGCTGTGTCACTCTTGGAATTGGCAGCGACCTTGATGCAAGAGCTCAGCATGCACTTTGCATGCAGGAAACACAGTGAGCGCTGCAGCGTGTTGGTGCATCTCCAGGGACTAAATTAGCCTTCTTTTGTGTTGATTTCATACTGTGGTGAGCTTATAAGCTCCCATTAATTTTTTTTCTGGATGAGAAATCTTATTTGGACAACTAGCAACTGTAGATGCTGAGGGCTGTCATTCACCCCCTTGGCCTTGGGTTTTTTCCTCCTTTTTCCTTTCCAAAAATATGGGAGACAGAAGTTGTAAGGAGTTCCCATTTTCTTTAGAAAGAAAACAATATTTGAGTTTTGTGAGCTCAGTAATTCTAGGTGGTTTTTGTTTTTTTTTTTTAATAAGCCTCCTGAGCTAGAATCATTGTTCTGGGGGGAGTTTGCTTTGCTTTCAAGGAAAACAATCTACAAAGTCTTTGTGGGGAATGATGTGATGCTTTGACTGATGTTGGGCAGACTGCTCAGTGTGAACTCATACAAAGCGAAAATTAGTTTGTGGTATTTCTGAAAAACCCACTCCACCATGAGAACTCACCAATGGTGAGTTTTCTCTCTGCAGCTTTTCTTAGTGCTTTATATAATGTAATGTGCAAAGGAATGTCCCAGCAAGGGATGCCTTTAAGCCTCTGGCTATATGATCTGATCTAAACAGGTTACTAAGACTTTTCTATTCTTCATAGAAAGGAATAGTTATCTTCTAAGAGCTGCATCCCAGCAGCCTTTGATAGGGTGTTATAAAAAGGGCTTAATCTTTCTTTCCACTGACCTAGAGAGGGAGCATAAGTGACTGGCTTAGGCCAGACAATTAACTGGAAATAGTTTGGGATGAATTTCCTTTCTATCCTCCCTCTCTTCCTAAAGCCAGGCCAAATTTAATAAAGGAAGATCGTGCACTTTGTGTCACACTTGCCCAAACTGCTGTAGTTTTGAAAGTTATATAAAGTGCATAATTGCACCCAACACAAAAGCGCTTTGGTATGCGTTATCTCAAATAATGGTTACCTCAGCACAATGTTGCAGCTGTTCCGAGTTCAGCTGGACTTCATCACAGTTTCTGCAGGCAGTGGTAAGCTACTGTGCAATAGCTGCGTGATCCAACATCTATTCCATGCGTGTTGTATGCTCTGTAATAGACTGATAGTTGTGGATTTCAATTTTATGCCTATAACACGCAGCAGAAGTAATCATTGTTATGGCGGCCGAGTACAATTCCCAGATTATTCCAGAGGAAAGAACATAATTTGCAAAAGGCCAACCCCCAGCCAGCCGTCCCGCGGCCTCACCTAGGCAAATATCATTTGTCTCCCCATATCCATCAAATTAATTCAAAATTAATGAGCCAATTCTTGCCAATCAGGGATCCAAGAGACTTCAGCTACAGACCAGTGGTGATGGACTGACGTTTCTAGTGCAGATAATCTTCTAAAACGTAAGAGGTTTAAATGAAAAACAGAACAACCCCTCCCACATACGCCTCCTAGAAGGCTAATTATGAGCTGAAGTTACCTTAACTGCTGTCCTGAATGAGGAGTCTGTAAATTACATGTTACCCACCTGCATTCTTGTAGTGCTGTATGACCTGTTTTTTTCAAAACTAATGGTATAATTCCACTAATTACCTTTTTTGTTTCACTAGGTTTCTGCAACACATTTTGTGCTTGAATATTACTTAATTTTGTTTGGAAGAAGTTGATCAGTAAAAAACGGGACGTGGACATTTTAGGAAGAGACAAGAAATTTAAGTTTCTGCACAGTACAATGGATTCTTGTAAGCACTATTGCAGAGCAGGGAAGTTAAGACAGATGCCTTAAGATTCTTAATGTGCATTTATGCAACACTGAATTATAAACTGCTACCAAAGGGCCAAATCCTGAAGTGCCCTGCTTGGATGCACAAGGTCCAGAGTGGGAACTATGCATTTCTGTTACGCTGCGGTGATGGGGTTGGATTGCAGAGACTCCTACCTCCCCACAGGCAAACTTCACACCTTAGACACTGCAGAAGTCGCTTCCATAGCAGGTCTCCAGGGTACAGAAAGAAAGGAAAAGGAAATTCTTCTAAAAGAAAAGGAGGGGGGTATGGAATCAAGATAGAGCATGGCTGGTACGTCTGAGGTGCGACTGCATAGCTCAGACACCAGGTGATGGGGAAGGGACTGGATGGTGTCTTCTCCCCTCTTCCTGTTCACCAGCCTACCCCATGATCGTAGCTCTCGGAGTCTTTCGGGACTGTGGATTCCTCCTACTAGCCATGCTTTGGAGCAAGGCCATGCCAACAACATAGAAGCCTTTTACCTGGGTGTTGTTTTTTTGCTATAGGATTGAGCCCCCTCGTCATTTTGATTTATTTAACCATATCAAGAACAGAGCTCAAAGAAGCAAACTCATTTTTAGTTGAAAGAACGTGGATTATTACTTTCCAACAAAAAGCCAATCCAAAACCGAATTACCCATTGTTACATTGTCTGTTCACGTCTGCAGTGTTCTGTGTGAGGCAGTAAGAAAATGGCAAAGTACCCCTGAGAAGTCTTACTGCAGTTGTGTGTTGTTAGAGGATGGAACTGGAAGAGTACTGCTTTTTCTATGGGACTCTTGGTGGTTTATCAATAACGTTTTATACCTTTGTTTTATCTTTTTAATAAAGGCACAAGTTTTTATTGGTTCTAAAGTACCATTAAAACAGATATCAAGTACTTAGGAAGAAATCAGTGTTGGACCATACATCTGTGTTAACACATGGAAAACGTGTATGCTTTAGCCTGCCACTTCCCAGTCCAGTTTAATGATGCTGATTGCTAAAGATTGAATGCTTTGTGCAGCCATGTACCTGTTAGCGACAGGCAAAACGTGTTCCCTGTGTGAGGACTGAAATCCTTCCAAAGCTGAAGACCTACAGCAAACAATGTGGGGATTTTTCCCCTTGCTCCTGTAGAGAAGACTAACTCCTCCTCGGGTTGTGTTGGAATCTTGCACCTGGAAGAAGTGACAAATACCCTTTTCCCGTCCGTAGCTTTTCTGATGTTCAGCTGATGCTGATTACACGGAAGATGTGAGCCCTCTGGATACAGACCAGGAAGGTAGTACCCGAGTTGATCTGGACCAAAAGAATGTGTTTGGTTTCTTTCAGTGATTGCTACTTAAGTCAAATATGTTTATGATGGAGATACTGAGGTAGCAAATATACTTTACGGTTTAAAACAAGCATTTTTTGTCTTTGGAAAGAATTTTTTTTCCCTTAAATATTAATCTTCTAGATTAAGAACGCTTTGAGTATGTATGAGCGTGATTTGGTCAGTTGTTCTTGAGGCAGAAGCAATGGGCCACACTTGCGTGTTTTATGAGAGCTGCAGAATGTTTCTTCAAATGTTGTACAAGAAATTTTGCATTTGCTAATTTCAAAACTTTAAAAAAAAAATTGCTACACATTAATCTGAAAAGTTTAGCTTTTTTTCTTCTCAACTGTCAAGTGAGAAGTCCTCATCTGCATATATCAATCTGCATATCGGAACTAGGTGATCTTTTAGGGCCCTTCCAACCCAACCCATTCTATAAGTTTTCGGCAGTACTGCACCCAGCAGCATTTCTGGGGGGAAGATGACGGAGGCAGAAGACTGCGAGTTGAAACGGCTTGTCCTGAATACCGAGATCTGCAGCCCCAAACGCCAGTGGACCTGTAACGCTGGGCCCGGGATGTCACCTGGTGTGTACAGCAGCAGTGCGTGGCAGCTGAGGTAACACAGACGCACACAGCCGCAGTCCAGCAGAACTGTAAGCAGAATCTCTGTCCCTGACACGGTAAAAATCACTGATTCAGCAATATGGGCTCTGCTCACCCACCTCCTGAAGTACTCTGTTTACCCCCATATGAATGTATGTGTACTATAGGCTGACATGTGACTTGTTTGATTTCGTAAGTCAGGATAGTTAACCTGCAGAACTCCAAGGAAACAGACTGGGCAAACCCCATTGTGTGTTCTCTAGCGTGTGCTGGTCTTCCACACCCAGTTCTTTGCACATCTGGTGGACGTTTGTGTGGCTTTTTTTGAAGAGCTGACGTTCCTGACACTTTACGCAGATCACAGGTACATCTTGTCCCAGGTTGTTCTCATGTTTCAGGTGAGAAAAGCAGGATAGCAGCGTGCTTAGGATACTCCTGC